TGGGATGGTTTTCCTGATTTCTTCCTTTACCCAATCACTATTGAAATACAGAAAAGCTATTGATTTATAGGTGCTGATCTTGTATTCTGTTGCTTTGCTAAATTCACTTATAAACTCTAGAAGTCTTCTGGTGGTGATTTTTGGATCCACTGCATATAGAATCATATAATATGTTAGCAAACAGAGATAGTTTGACTTCTTCTTTTCTTATCCCCTTGATTTCCTTTTCTTGCCTGATTTCCTGAAGTTTTGAGGAAACTGAATAGGAGTGCTGAAAATGGACAGCCTTTTCTGTCCTGAATTTTATGGACATACTTTTGTCCATGTAGTTTGATGTTGGCTTTGAGTTTTTCATAAATGACCTCTACGATATTGAGTTAAGTTCCTTCAATCTCTAGCTTTTCCAGCAATTTTTAACATGAATGGGTGTTGATTTTATCAAAGGCCTTGCCTGCATCTGTTGAAATGATCGTGTGAGCTTTGTTCTTCATTCTGTTTAAGTGAGGATGCACATTTACTAATTTCAATATGAACCATACTTGCATCCCTGGAATGAAATCCACTTGATTATTTTCTTCATATGTTTTTTAATGCACCTTGTTAATATTTTATTAAGGATTAATGTTTAATCCTTAATAAATATTAATTAATTCATCAATGTTCATCAGGAATATTGGTCTGTAGTTTCCCTGATGCATCTTTATTTGGTTTTGGTATCAGGGTTATACTAACTTCATAAAAAATATTTGGGAGTGTTTCCTCTCCTTCAACTTTATGTAATAATTTGAGAAAGACTGGTGTTAGTCCTTCTGTAAAGTCCTATAAAAATCAAATGAGAATCTATTTGGTCCACAGCATTTTTTTCCTGAAAGGCTTTTAAATGTTGTTTCAATTTCATTACTTAATATTGGTCTGTTTAGGATTTCTATATCTTCCTGGTTCAACTTGGGCAGGTTATATGAGTCTAAAAATTTGTTCATGTCTTCCAGATTTTCCAGTTTATTGGAGTATGAATTTTCAAAATATGATCTGATAATCCTCAGGATTTCAGAGGTTCTATGGTGATATCTTCTTTTTCATCTCTGATCTTCTTGATTTGCTTCTTCTTACTCTTTCTTTTGGTTAGTTTTGTCAATTGTATTAATCTTTTCAAAGAGCCCACTCTTCCTTACATTGATCCTGTTTATTATTTTTGTATTTTCAATTTCATTGATTTCAGCTCTGATCTTAATTATTTCCTGTCTTTGACTGGTTTGAAAGTTAGTTTTTTGTTCCTTTTCTAAGGCCTGGAGGTGGAGCATAAGCATATTTATTTGGCATCACTCTGATTTTTTAATGTAGGCACTCAGTGCTATAAATTTGGCCCCAGAACTGCTTTCATACTGTCTCAGAGATTTTGATATGTTGTATCTTTATTCTCATTTATTTTTAAGAATTTCTTGATTTCTTTTCTCATTTCCTCTTTGATCTATTCTTTATTTAAGAGAATATTGTTCAATTTTGATGACTTTATGTGGATTTTATTATTATCTGTTGATTTCTAGCTTCATTCCATTATAATCTGATAGGATACATGAGATTATATCAATATTTTTATATTTGTTAAAATTTGCTTTGTGTCTTACAATATGAACTATTTTTTGAAAAACATCCATCCTCAGCTGGAAGAAGATACATTCAGCTGTTTCGTGGTAGAATATTTTGTAGATGTCTGTTAGTTCCATTTGGATTTTAATATTGTTTAGGTTGGAGATTCTTAGTTGATTTTTTGTTTTGATGTCCGTGTTTATTGGTGGTAAGGGTGTACTGAAATCTCCCAGTATTATTGTGTCGGGGTCTATGTAGAATTTAATTCCATGGAGTACTTTTTCCATATAATTGAGGCATTAACATTGGGACATAAATGTTTACTATGGTTATATCTTGTTGTATTGTTCCCTTTACTAGGATGTAATGGCCTTCTCTGCCCTTCCAACTTGTGTTCCCCCTAGGAAGATTCCACTCCACACCCTTTTACTCTTGTGCTATGCCACACACCCCTCTATCCCTTGATAAGGTGCCTATTTGTGGTTTATTTATTTGCTCTTTTATGATCTCCTGAGTCCCTCAAATGTCACTGGGATGTGCTCACCCAAAATGGCTCCAAAATGAATGCAAAGCCTCAGTCTCTGCCTTGAGTCAAGGTAGTGAGTACGTTTATTTAACACCCAAGTACGCTTGACAAGGATCTGCACAATTTTCTGCCTTTTAGGTTAGATAAGTTAAGGCAGTGTTTTTGATCTTAGATTTCTCTGCATCAAGACCCAAGGTGGCAATGTCTGAAATGTGGCTTCCTCTTGTCTGCCTCTTTTTGTTGGTGGTGGGTAAGCTTAGGCCTGTGGCTTCTTACTTTATTGTATCCAACCTTCTGATTCCCCAAGCTGCTCTGAGTGTCCAGTACTAAATCCCAGTGAAATTTGTCTTTCACCCACTTCACTGAGAAGCTGTATTTCTACTATCTTGATCTCACACCATGACACAGCCTGGAATGCAGCCTTCTCTACTTCACCATCTTTCACCCCTCTCTTCGCTTTTTAAACATATATATCTACTTCATGGGCTCAATCTTCCCTCTACCTTCCTGAGTATGTTTTTCATATATTCTGTCCACTTTTCTGGTTTGTCAGCAAGAGGAAACACTCAGCTCATGTTAGTCTATCATTACCAGGAGCAGGAGTCATGTATATTCAATTTTCATTTTTTAATGTAAAGGATCTTACCTCTGCATTCAAAAATGTAACTGAGCTATACTCTCTTGTGGCTCATGCTCATGTTAACATAATTAAATTAATCTGAAAGATTTGCATTTATAATATTCTAGTAGAGTGAGGATCAATAAATATTAGAAGAACATAATTTCTTAAATCAAAATGTCACTGAGTGGTGGGGTGGTGATAGGGAAAGGATTTAACTAAATTATCCCAAAATGAACCTGAAAAAACAAATAATAGATAAAAAATACTGAAAAGAAAAAGAGAATGAAGAAAACTGACCCTCATAAATCTTAAAATTCGACCTCAAAATTGAAAAACAGATCAATGAACTAGAAACAGACCTATTCTAGGGAGGCAATAATTTAATTTAGGACACAGATAATATAGTATGAATTGGTAAAACAGGCAAATTTGTAAACTAAAATAAGAAGTTAAAAATAATAAAACTATAGCTGTACCTCCTAATATTGATCATGATAGATTCTAGAATGGATTATGTAATTAATTTAAAAATATGAATGTACTATAAGGCGCAATTGTACATGCTTATAATCCTAGTGACTTGGGAGGCTGAGAAAGGAGAATTACAAGTTTGAGTCCAGTTTGGGCAATTTAGTGAGAACTTGACCCAAAATATAAAGGGGACTGAGTATTTAAATCAATTGCAAAGTACCCTTGGGTTCAATCCCCATTTTTTACATTGAAAAATGAAAATTAAATGAGTGTGTGTGTGTTTGTGTGTGTGTTTGTGTGTGTGTTGTATAAATTCACAGGTTAAAAAAGCAAAGTGAATGGGTGATTTTTTTTCTATTCTAAAGAATACATAAGTTAAATTTAAAAGTAAAATGGAAAAATGTAGTATATGATAAAAACAGAATAAGTTCCTACTTTAAATGTTATTCTAAATCAACAATAAAAATTATCAAAAACATTGAAATCAGTCAAATGCATGTTTTCAATTATGTACAGAAGAACCAAGATTAATAAGCAAATGAAAAAATTTCTTACTAGAAACAAAAAGTAAAAAGCACAGAAGCATAAAATAATAACTCAAAATTGGAAAAAAAATGTTTAAAAAAACCCCAGAATGATGAAACGAGTAGAAGGAAAAAGCATACTTCCATTCTTGGTGGAGACAAATTTTTTTTTTTAATTTGGATAATTGTTTAACAACATAAATATTATAACCTGAACCATGCTGTGTCACTTAGCAACTTAATATAATTTTTTTTGGTACCAGGAATTAAACCCAGGGTTGCTTAACCACAGTCACATCTTCAGCCCTTTTTAATGTTCTGTTTTGACACAGGGTCTTGCTAAGTTGTTTAGAGGCATGCTAAGTTGTTTAGAGGCGTGCTAAGTTGTTGAGGCTGAATCTGAACTTGCAATCCTCTTGCCTCAGCCTTCTGAGCTGCTAGGATTATAGGCAAGTGCTACCACACCCAGCAATATCGTGTTTTAATAGCACATTTCGTGTTTTAATAGCACATTTGAGGAAATATAACACTCATGATGTTAAATAAATAGAGACTACAAAATGCCTATACTATCTGATACATATTAATTAAACAAGAAAATATACCAAACTGTAAACAGTGGGTATCACTGGATTATTGGAAATGTGGCAAAGTTTCAGGAAATAATATCATTTTTCTGGTCATAAAATGATTCAAAATCTGTTCTTTTTGTTGTTTTTGTGGTGCTGGGGATCAAACCTAAGACCTTGTACATGTGAGGCAAGCACTTTACCAACTGAGCTATATACCCAAGTCAAAACCTGTTTTTTTTTTTAATTTGTTATTTATTCTTATTGTAGTCTGGTAGTCCACTTGGGTGGTAATGAAGGCTTTTTCTATCAGCTACAGTGGAATAAAGTAAATCATTCCCCAGAATGCTGGTATCTATTCTGGAATGCCATAAACTCTCTAATAACAACTTTATCTCTGTATCTGTCACCAGGAAGTTTAATCCTTCTGCTGATAGGCAATTTTAGGGCTGAGGTCTTAAATCTGGATGAGGTAGGAGGATGGAATTCTTTTCTCTGGACATATGTTGCTCATTATGTCAGTCCCTTTATAGCTACTGATTCAGGGTCACCTTGAAAGGAAACACCCAGCAGAGCTAGAAGTTGGTTACTGATCATAAGAGAATAGTGTTACATGTTCAGTGTGGAAGGAGAAGTTACCTTATTTCTCAGAGATTGTGGGATACCATCACCATGTGTAGAAAATGTGTAGAAATACTTACCTTTACATAAACCTTCAAAAGAAGTCTCATCACTGCAGAAAAGTGCATCAACTTTGTATTCTTGAAAGTATATATGTTAAATATACATTCACTACCTGCCAAATGAATGAATGGAGAATGAGTAAAGTACTGTGATCTCCTTTACCTGGTGTTTGTTTCAGAATTTTTCTATCACCATGTGTAGAAAATGTGTAGAAATACTTACCTTTACATAAACCTTCAAAAGAAGTCTCATCACTGCAGAAAAGTGCATCAACTTTGTATTCTTGAAAGTATATATGTTAAATATACATTCACTACCTGCCAAATGAATGAATGGAGAATGAGTAAAGTACTGTGATCTCCTTTACCTGGTGTTTGTTTCAGAATTTTTCAACCCTGTTTCCAGTGTGACTATCTTGGGAGATTTTTTTTTAAATACTGTTTCCTAATGTTTCTCCCCTCCTGAGAGATTCAACTTGATCTGTTCTAGACAGGGACCTGATGGGGCTTCCAAAGACAGTTGTTCACTGTAAAAGGATTCTCAGCGATTGAGAAAAATAGAAGCCTGGAGACTAGGCTAAATTTTCTGAGAAGGGGTGCATTTTCTAGATATGCCTGATTGGCCCCTTGAAACAAGGGATGCACATTCCAATTTCTTTTCATATAATGATTGAATGTAAATAGGCTGTGGTCTTGAACCCAGGGCCTAGGATTTTTTTTTTTTAAGTAAAATCAATGAACAGCTATGGTTGAAAACCTCAGGCAACATTCATTATTACCAATGCCAAGTTGAATTCTTCCCTGCAGAATTTTATTCCTATTTTTTTCTCTCTGCTTATAATTGCTTTCTGTAATCTATGATCCCCATTTCCACTTACTTGTACTCCTCTATCCTAACCCATGTCCACTCTCTGCCATATTCTCCCTAGGAACTATGGTTCTGGCTACTTGATAGATCTAGTAATCAAGTATAGGGTTTTGAATTAAATAATTTGGGTAGTAGAATGAATCAGTCATTACTGTCTTATGTGCATACATTATTACACAACCAATGCAATTCCACATCATGTAAAAAAGAATAAGAAGTTATACTCCCTACACATATATGTCAAAATGCATTCTACTAACATGTATAGTTAATTAGAACAAATTTAAAAATTAAAAAAATAAAACCTTAGTGGGGGAAAGTACTTTGAAATTGATAATAAATACTGTTGGAGTAAAATATATACTCAAAAAATATAAATAAATAAAATAATTTGAATCTTACTAGACCAAACTCTGAACTGGGCTACTATAGCTTGATGGAAACATGGCCACCAAGCTGAAGAAGGTGTATAAGTTGAAATCAGGGGGACCTTGAGTTCTCTCCAGCTGTAAACTTGTTATAGTTGCAATGCTTGTGGGCCTAGGGAAGGTAATGGGCAAAAAAAATCAGCTGATATATGGCTTTCAAAAGATATTTCATTGTCCATAAAAATTTAATAATGTTATTCAGTTCAGTCCAACCAACTATAACATATATTTTTGATGGTCTGCTATGCAGTAGAACATCTGAGTAATAAAAGTAGCAGGGTGGTAGAGCCCTACCATAAAGACTCATGCAATCAAAGGGATGATAATGAAAAATTAAAGGACATGGGGAGAATCCCTTTCAGGAGCTCCCCTCAGCTTCTTAGCAGCATGCTCAGAAAGGCTTCAAACAAAACAATATCAAAACCTGGAAGGCATGTTTGCCTAATGTAAGATACTAATAAACACTCAGAAAACAATTCAAAGGAAGGATGAAAGATGGCATGGGAAGCTGTCATCTGAGTGTCGTCTTAGCAGTTGAAGAGCTATAGAAGGAAAAGAAGCAAAAAGATGGTGGTAGAGGGACATGGAGAGCACTGCTTATTTCCAGAGAAAAGGAGCAGAGTTAAGAAATCATCCTTCCATTAGACCTGAGCTAGTGAATTTGAGCTCAAGAGCACTCATGTCTACTGCAGAGCTCTACAGAATCCACATGTGTGCTGGAGGCTGTCTTGTGCCCAACTCAGTAACTCAGCACTTTGGCTTTCCTTTCCAAGGCAAAGGAGCTAATATGAAAGGACATGTCCATAAGTATGTGCACTTCATGGGAAACAACATATTATCTGAAATGGTAGAACCCATCTTTCCCAAGTTAAAAGTAAGTGAACGTAAGACATGAGTAGATCACTTCTGAATTCAAGATGAGCAAAGAGAAAGTTTACAAATAAATCAAAACACAACAAAACCTGCATATGAATAATTTAGAAAACAATGTGAACTGGGGCAATGAACATTATCTTGTAGTCAAAATGTAAAAATAATACTTCTGAAAAAGATCAGAAACCTAAAACAGAAAAACAGGACAATGAGACAAGGGATTAAAAATCTTACACTCATCATAATGGCTAATGTTAAAAAAAAAAGTGACAATATCAAGGGCTATTAAGAATGTGGCATCACCAGAAGTCTCTCATTCATTAGTGGAGTAAATGTAAAATGGGGCAGCCACTTCAGCAAAAGATTTTGCAGTTTCATTAAAATTTAAACATATAATTACCACATGACTTAACAATCCTACATCTGTAATAAACAAACAAAAGACTTCTCTGCATAAAAAGACCTAAACAAGATCACGTGAGTAGTTTTCTACACAATGCCTCAAACTGCAATCAACCCAAATATCTTTCATAGGGGAAGAGACACATCATAAAAGAGTCAAACAGTGGAAAAATATTCAACAGCAAAAATGAACAAACAGATAATGAGCACAATGACATGCATGAATCTCACAAATGAAACAGTGAATAAAAGAAGCCACACAAAATAGTTCATGGAAGATGATTCAATTTTATAAATTTCCTGCATAAATAAGTCTAATTCATGATATTTTTTTAAAACTGAGAATTGAACCTAGGGGCACTTTACCACTATCTCTGAGCTACATTCTTAGTCCCTATTTTTTGTTTTTGTTTGTTTGTTTGTTTGAGACAGTCTTGCTAAGTTGCTGAGACTGGTCTCAAACATGCAATCACCCTGCCTCAGCCTCTTAAATTGATAGGATTACAGACAGGTGTGTGCCACCACACCTAGCTCTAATTCATAATTTAGAAAAGGAAGAATAAATGTGTCTCTCGGATGGGGCAGACATTGACATAAAAAGGTTGTACAGGAACTATCTAGGTTAATGTAGAGAAGAGCCTGGGTTACTTAGTATGTTAGTCAAAACTCTAAGTGGCTTATTTAAGACTTAATTTAAGTTTAATCTTAAAAGAAAGCAGGAATGAACTTTGAATTCTAGTTAATTCTGTGCACACTGAAGAGTTTAAGGAGGACAAGTTATCTATTTCTATGTAACAAATTGTCCTAAAATATGGTGCTTTAAAACAACAAGCATTTATTATCTCACCATTTTTATAGATGAAGAAACTGATATCGGTTTAGCCACGTGGTTGTAACAGGTTCTTTCAGGAAGTTGCAATCAAGGTGATAGCAGAGGTTGTAGTCACCTAAAAATTGGACTGGCGCTAGATGATTCTCTCCAGGTTCATTCCTGTGGCTTTTGGCAGGAGGTCTCAGTTCCTCCTCACTCAGGTTTCTCCACAAGACTGTTCATTACAGTCATCTTACCAGAGTTAAATACTGCACAGAGAAAACTTAGTTCCTGTGTGATCTTACCTTAGAGGTCATACAGCATAGTGTTTAATCATAATTTGTTGGTCATGTAGATCAACTCTGATGTAGTATGGGATGGGACAACACATGGGCAAAAGCTTCAGGACATGAAGATCATTTCAGAGCTGACTACTAAAAGAGTACCAATATTTGTCATTTAAATGCATGACGATAGAGATGGATTCACTGATGATAAATGATTGAAAGTATTGATAGAATAAGATATAAAATAGAAAAATATTAATAACTGTGAAATCTGTGTAGTAGGGAGCTATGTTACTGTATAAGTCAGTAAACTTTTCTATATGTTTGAAATTTTTCAAAATAAAATAATGAGGAATCACTTAATCCTAAGAAGACATGGGGTAACATGGCCTCCTCTAAATAGAAATCTATAAGAGCTCTGTCTAATTGGAGGCAGAGATGCTAACAGGTGATGGTTGTAATAAGGCATAGGTGTTTTTGCAGATGGCAGCACTGAATGGAATGCTTGCATTGTATGTCCAGCAGAAAAGCTTGAAAGAGCATCAGAGTGAACATACCTGTTAGTCCACAAAATAAGATACTTCCTATGCGTGCTGGTGACTTGAATTGTAACAGAATGAAGCCAATTTAGGACTGTTATTTGAGAGAAGTAGCGATGACCAGTGTTAGTGTGAACTGATATCTGAAGACCAGATTGGAGCAAGTAGCATTTATTTTAAGGACATGATAGAAAAAACTGTACAGAGAAGGAAATAGCCTCACTTGGAAATTACCACCAGTGTTATAATGATAGTTTTTAAAGACTATGTGACTTTTCTCTCAAAGGGAAAAGTTCAAAGAATTTTCTTAAGAATAAGACTGTTTCTGCCAGGTGTGGTAATGCACACCTGTAATCCCAGTGACTCAGGAGACTGAGGCATGAGGATCATAAGTTCAAGGTCAGCCTGGGCAACTAAGTGATATCCTGTCTCAAGATAAGAAATTTAAAAAGGGGCTGGGGATGTGGCTCAGTGGTTAATCACACCTGGCTTCAATCCCCAGTACCAAAAAGGAAAAAGAAAAAAGAGTAAAACAATTCATATATAAAACACAACAAACAATGAATGCAAGTCCTAGGTCTGTGTTGAGGGCTTATTATTATTATTATTATTATTATTATTATTATTATTATTATTATATTTTACCAAAAACACCACCAAAAAAGTAATATGAATCATTGCATATGATTAAACCACGTATTAATAGGGACAAACAGAAGCTAAAAATCACGGAAACCACTCAAGAGCTGAGAAATGGGGAGTGACAGACACAAGCTAAAGATAGTCCTCTGGCTTTTGTTCTGGTTGTGTGTGAACTGCTCCATGTTCTCTCACACAGTCTGCACAGGGATCTTGGTGACAGACAGCAAAAAGAAGCACATGCAGACAAAGCAGTGCAGAACAATGTG